TCCTACAATTTAAAATGTTAAGTAATCAGGGAAATCTCCTCCTAAAAGCCTGCTGTTCCACAATGTGACAGTTCCTGGGAAGAGGCTGTCTGAGCGGCATGTACCAATGGAATAAGAGGGGAATGGGATGATTCGACCCTGTGTAATTGGCCTGAAAAGTCTTTGCTGAGAATCTATGAAATTATGGAACAAAAAAAAATGGAGCTCGTCCGAACATCTGCCAGAAAAATAGGGAAAAAAATATCATGAGATTAATAACGTATAGTTTGAGAGAAAGCGGTTACAGGATGGAAAATAATTAATCACGCAAAAGAAAACACATTTGAACTCGATCTAGGCTCGAAAGTGAGGACTCTAGAAAGTTCTGGTCCTGAGAGGGTAGCAATACTCCGGCCTTGATAGGGTAGCAATACTTCAGTCCTGATAGGGTAGCAATACTCCGGTCCTGATAGAGTAGCAATACTTCAGTCCTGATATGATAGCAATACTTCGGTCCTGATAGGGTAGCAATATTCCAGTCGTGATATGGTAGCAATACTTCGGTCCTGATAGGGTAGCAATACTCCGGTCCTGATAGAGTAGCAATACTCCAGTCCAGATATGGTAGCAATACTTCGGTCCTGATAGGGTAGCAATACTCCGGTCCTGGTAGAGTAGCAATACTCCAGTCCTGATATGGTAGCAATACTTCGGTCCTGATAGAGTAGCAATACTCCAGTCCTGATATGGTAGCAATACTTCGGTCCTGATAGGGTAGCAATACTCCAGTCCTGATAGAGTAGCAATACTCCAGTCCTGATATGGTAGCAATACTTCGGTCCTGATAGGGAAGCAATGCTCCGGTTCTAATAGGGTAGCAATACTTCGGTCCTGATAGGGTAGCAATACTTCAGTCCTGATAGGGTAGCAATATTCCGGTCCTGATATGGTAGCAATACTCCAGTCCTCATATGGTAGCAATACTTCGGTCCTGATAGAATAGCAATACTCCAGTCCTGATATGGTAGCAATACTTCGGTCCTGATAGGGTAGCAATACTCTGGTTCTAATAGGGTAGCAATACTTTAGTCCTGATAGGGTAGCAATATTCGGTCCTGATATGGTAGCAATACTCCAGTCCTGATATGGTAGCAATACTTCGGTCCTGATAGAGTAGCAATACTCCAGTCCTGATAGGGTAGCAATATTCCGGTCCTGATATGGTAGCAATACACCAGTCCTGATAGGGTAGCAATACTTCGGTCCTGATAGAGTAGCAATAATCCAGTCCTGATATGGTAGCAATACTTCGATCCTGATAGGGTAGCAATACTCCGGTCCTGATAGGGTAGCAATACTCCGGTCCTGATAGAGTAGCAATACTCCAGTCCTGATATGATAGAAATACTTCGGTCCTGATAGGGTAGCAATACTCCAGTCCTGATAGGGTAGCAATACTTCGGTCCTGATAGGGTAGCAATACTCTGGTTCTAATAGGGTAGCAATACTTTAGTCCTGATAGGGTAGCAATACTTCGGTCCTGATATGGTAGCAATACTCCAGTCCTGATATGGTAGCAATACTTCGGTCCTGATAGAGTAGCAATACTCCAGTCCTGATAGGGTAGTAATATTCCGGTCCTGATATGGTAGCAATACACGAGTCCTGATAGGGTAGCAATACTTCGGTCCAGATAGAGTAGCAATAATCCAGTCCTGATATGGTAGCAATACTTCGATCCTGATAGGGTAGCAATACTCCGGTCCTGATAGGGTAGCAATACTCCGGTCCTGATAGAGTAGCAATACTCCAGTCCTGATATGATAGCAATACTTCGGTCCTGATAGGGTAGCAATACTTCGGTCCTGATAGGGTAGCAATACTCCGGTCCTGATATGGTAGCAATACTTCGATCCTGATAGGGTAGCAATACTTCAGTCCTGATAGGGTAGCAATATTCCGGTCCTGATATGGTAGCAATACTCCAGTCCTGGTAGGGTAGCAATACTTCGGTCCTGATATGGTAGCAATACTTCGGTCCTGATAGGGTAGCAATACTCCAGTTCTAATAGGGTAGCAATACTCCAGTCCTGATATGATAGCAATACTTCGATCCTGATATGGTAGCAATACTCCAGTCCTGATAGAGTAGCAATACTCCAGTCCTGTTATGGTAGCAATACTTCGATCCTGATATGGTAGCAATACTCCGGTCCTGATAGGGTAGCAATACTTCGGTTCTGATATGGTAGCAATACTCCGGTCCGGATAGGGTAGCACTATTCTATTTTCGGTCTGATCTATCTTTTGTAAAGCTAGCCTATCGCCTGAGTAAGTCAGGTACATGTAACAGAGTTTTTCTAGCATCTTTAGCGATGGTAAGAAATTAAAGTTCCGCATGTGGTCTGGATTGAGCTTGAGTACCAATATTCGAAGCTAGGAACCTCATTAGGGGTACATTTACTACCATTTCGGTGATAAGTGGGAAGGTGCTACTAGATTTATTGCTTGAATTATTGAATCCTACTCATAGAACTGCGTGACTAAGGTCAGCAGATAAATCAGCTGCCAAGTTCTGGTTCATCTCGGGTTTTGGAGAAGCACCAATAAACCGTGTTATCGTCGCTATATATATTTTTTTAATGATCTAAGGATATTCTTAGGAAGATCATTAATATAATTAAGAAAGAAAGTAGGGCTGAAGAGATAGCCTTGGGGCACGCCAGCATTGATACTAAGTGCTACAGATGACTTATTTTAATGACAATCTTCATGGAATTACCTAATAGGAAGGACTAGAATATATAGAAAACTTTTCCAGGGATACTATTGCAGTATCCCTACGGACGAT